TGTGTGAGAGTTTGTGTAACTTCTGGGAGGAAGAGAGCTTCCAAGTTTGGGAGGAGGCACTGGATATAATAAAGCCCACAACCGCAGAAGAGACACCCCCCACAGGCCCCCTGTGGGCTGGAGGTGGTAGGCCAGGACTTCTTCCTTGTTTATGAACTTGCATCAGTCATGATAAGCTAGGTTATGCTGCAGTAACGAACAACCCCCAAAGTCTCAGTGGCCTGAAACAAAGCTTATTTCTCATGCTACGCATCCAACAGGGATCAGAAGGGTGACTCTGCCCAGTACCATCCCTCAGTGGCCACCGTGGAAGCTGCTAACACCTCAGTCTGAAGCTTCAGGAGTCCCTGGCACCAGCTCTTAAATACTTCTGATCGAAGAGTCACATGTCACCTCTACGCACCATTCATTGGTTAGAACTGGGCTCATGGCTTCACTAACCTAAAGGAGAGGGAAGATTAATCCTCTGTGTCGTCAGTAGAGGAGCACTGAATGTTGGTGATGTCTACCAAGCCAGTAGGTGTACCGATTCAGTTTACCTGAGCAGGGTGTGCCATGGTTGGGTCTCTGGTTCCACTGCAATAACTTTTGTACTATCTCTATCCTTACTTTCCATCGTTCAAAAGATGGCTACTTCTCCTTATCGCGTATGTTGTTAGAGCTGCTGTAACAGACCTGGCTGCTTAAACAACAGACCTGGCTGCTTAAACAACAGAAGTTTATTGTCTCACAGTTTCTGGAGGCTAGACATCTGAAATCAAGGTGCTGGCAGAGTTGGTCCCTTCTGAGGCTGTGAGGGAGAAGCTGTCCCCCCGCCTCTGTCCTTAGCTCAGCTGTCTTCTCCCTGTGTCTCTTCATATCATCTTCACTTTCTGCCTATTTGTGTCTGTGTGCAAATTCTTTTAATAAGGGCACCAGTCTTATTGGATTAGGGACCCACCCTATCCCAGTCTGACCTCAACTAATTACGCCTTCAGTAATCTTATTTCCAAATAAGGTCACATTCTGAGGTACTAGGGGTTGGGACTTCAACGTATGAATTTAACACACAGGGAGCTTACTCCCCAGTGGCCTTAGCTACAGTGGTGTGGTCCCTCCTGTCAACTTCATTTGCATCCACTTGTTATCCCCAGGCCAGACAAAAGCTGATCCTTCCTTCTTTGGTGCTACTGTACTTTGTACATACCTCTGTTCCTCCCTGGGTGTTATGTTGAGATATTTTAATTAGTGGGTTTATTTCCATTCCCAGCCTTTAGGTGGTCTCCTTTAAAGTAAGGTCTCCCTATTTCTGTTCCAGAGTCTAGGAGAGTACCTGGCACAAAGTAGACCCAACGTTCTTTGGAGGCTGAAAACTGAAGGCCCCCACTTGTCTTATGGCATCAGCCCAGGGCTACAGACTGGAGTGATTTTTCAGTGTTAGGAGTAGGGGTGACCTTAGGGAAACTGATGGTGGGTGATCAGACACCACGACCAGAATAAGACCAGAATACATTATAATGATCCTCAAAACACAAAGGAGCTAAGGAAATCATGAGAGAAAAATAAATGGGCTCTGCTTCGCCTTAAAAAAAGAAAAGTCATCTGTGAAATAGAGGAAATCCCTTGAGAGATTTTAATAGCAAAATATTAGGAACCTAGAAGCTCTGTTTTGTGGCAGCATCTAAATCCAGTTTGGCTTTTCTTAATATCATTTTGCTTCAGATCATAAAGGGATAAAAAAGACCGAAAGAAGAAAGATTAATAATTAAAATCCAGGAAAACCCAGATTTTTGGTTTGATTAGGTATTGGAAATGGACAATCACATTACTAATCCTGGTGATGGATTAATTTTTTCTTATTTTTCAATGATAGAAAAAAAACTCGTTTTTACTCTGGAAAGTCCTGAGTAGGCAAAATCCCCACACAGAAGACTTAAAGATTCTGATCATATCCGTCAGCAGTGAGATTTCTAATAGAGACTCTTCTAAGATATAGTAGGCTGTTGGTACCTAATCCTGGGGATGGGAGTCCGGCATTGCTGCTCATAGATCTCACTTTTATAGAGTATTTTAGGAGACCCAACTGGAATGAGAAGAAATAGGCATTATTCTGTAAAGCTGCGTATTGCAGTGGGTTTCTCCATCATAGGGGACAGAATGAAGCAAGACTTCTTTCCTCGTTCAGGTAACAGCGATGGCATTCTCATTCTGTAAGTTCGTTCCTCCCTCTTTAGTCTTTCTCCCAGGACAAGTCCAAGGACCTCAGGGGCTTACTCAGTTCAGGAGGGGCAGGCGGGAATGGGCCACCTGCACAGGAAGCCAGCACAAGGGGGATCCCTGTTTCCCCTGCTGTCAGGGCTGCCCCCTTGTGATGGGGCTGAGCCGCACACCTGGGAACAGCTAGTCACTGCAGGGAACAGAGACTGGCCACTGGCCTCCTCCTCTCTGGCCCAAGGTTCTCAGGGTGCAGAAGGGGGCACCTCTGGCTGCAGGTACAGCTCCCACTCAGGTGCTCGGTCCTAGGAAACCAGGTCATTCTGTTGCCCACGGCAGCTCTTCCCCAAAACACACCCATTTCACGGGTCAGTCAGACCAGGAGGGATTCCAGTGACAATGGGAAATCTACATTATGACCAAGAGCCCAGCCTACATTACCGTGTAAATGCGGGCAATGTAGGGGTGATGGGGTTTCAAGTTACTGTTCGTGTCTGCCTCTGCCAGGCCTGGCCAGTAACTCTGAACCCCAAAGGGAAGGGTCTGCATTGCAATACCCCCTTTACAGAAGGCGAGCATGCTCCTTTGGAGAATTTGTGTCCCACCATCCCAGCAGAGTGGGTGGCATCCTTGAGCTTCTGCTGTGTCTCTGCCGGACCCACTGGCCCGGTAGCTTACCCAAAAAAAGGTTTCCTGTGAGGTTTGCTTAATCTCTCTAGGCTAGAAGTGAGCACCCAGCCAACCCCACCAGCTTCTGCTTCTGTGGACATCCTACACACTGATGTTAAAGACACTGAGATTTCTTCTTCATTTCCTAAAGGTTTTTAAAGTTTGAATTTTATTTGATAAGCAAATGCCTGATTTTTACATGGGCAAAGTGATGGATATTTTCTTTGTGATATTTCCCTATTGCTTTCTTGCCTAGGAGGTCCCTTGTGGGCTTTCCTTTCAGTTATTTTTCTAATCCATCCAGAGTTTACTTTTGTCCATAGTGTGATGTGAAGACCCAGCTTTCTTTTTTTTTTTTCCCAAACAGCTAGCCAATGTTCACAGTACCAAAAGCTGAATAATGTATCACCTCTCCACTGATCTGGGTCTTTTGCTTTTTAATCCCATGAGTACAAGGTTACCTTCAGGAGGTTGTAGGGTGTAGGTGGCCTTCAGGAGGTGTGAAAGTCAGGACCGGCCAAACCAATGCGTGCACAGGCCCAGCAGCTGAGTGGGGGAGGGAAGACAAAGCCAAGAAGAAGCTCCTGCGAGATGACCTCATTAAATGACCATCAGGGCACGGATTCAGAAGCCATGGCTCCTGTCTCTAGCCACTTGGAGTGACTCGGAACGTAGGCAAACCAGGGTTCTAGCATCACTGAATAAGTGCCTTGAACATGGTGCCGCTGAAATTCTGAAGAACTTGAAAATAATGTTTCTAAAAGATGGCGTTGTTTTCCTGACTAGATGGTTAATGGCACCAGGACAGCAGCCATGTCTGAGTTACCTTCAAACCTTCCCGAGCTGGAGTGGCACGTCGTGCACAGGATAGATAGCTGTGAAGGAGTTTTCATGGCTGGGCTGAAGCCATATCCACTGTTGTCAGCAGCTCTTGAGTTCCCACACTGAGAATGGGCGGGATGTGTTTTCCAACAGACTGCACACAATGTGCATCCTTTTCACCGTTACCTTCTACCTCTGTGACCTTCCGTAGGAGGGGACTCTTCTAGCATTACTATTCAGGATAAAAACAAACAAGCAAGCAGAGGTTAGAGGCTCCGTGATCCCAAATCCCAGCGAGATGGAGCATCTGCCTTTGCTGCTGGAGGATTCAAGGCAGCTGGCACTTGGCTGGAGGAACAGAAATGACAGGCCTGACTTACAAGGCGAAGATTAAAGATTAGCTAGCACGTGGATTTCTTTTCCTTTTACTAGATACCAAATGAGGCAGTTTTATTTTTGTAGTAAGAAAAATTGGGGATAAAAAAATGGAGATGTTACAGATCGCAGCTCTGTTAATGGGATCATTTTCTAACACATTAGAGCTGTGCGTGTGAGTATTTTATACATATGTTTGCTATATATGTGTATATTATACATATGTATATATACACATATATAACATATACCAAATATATGTGTTCATGTATATATGAATTACAGTTTTTATAGCTGCCACATATGATTAAAGAAAATATTTCTCTTTACAGAGGGAGAACTTCTATTTGGGTATATTGTCCTAGTATTCAGATATTGTTAGTTTTTCAAAGCAGTACAAGCCTATTATAGAAAATTTGAGAAATTCAAGAAAAGTAGAAATGAAGGAGAGGGACTTCCCTGGCAGTCCAGTGGTTAAGACTCCAAGCTTCCACTGCAGGGGGCGCGGGTTCAATCCCTGGTCAGGGAGCTAAGACCCCACGTGCCATGCGGCACTGCCAAAAAACAAAAAAAAACAAAAAAAAATGGAGGAGAAAACACGTATATTGAGTGGATTATCATAATTTTAAGACTTGAGCCCTAGGGTGGAGTCAGGGAGAGCAAGGAGCCTCCTCTGGGAAGGAGGAGTCTGTAACAGTCTAGGAAAAGTGTCCCTGGAAACATCTCCACCCTGTCGGGCCTCTCAGGAACTTGGGGCCTGGCGTCCCTCCTCTGGTCACTGCCCGAGGAGTGGTGACCTTCCCCATACACGTTCGGTGCAGTCGGGAGTCTCTATACATCTCCACTCTTCATCAGGGAGAGTTTGGGCTCTCAAGCCGCATGAAGCTTCCACAACTCAGCCCTTGAATAAACCATGGCTTTCTTTCTCTTTTTATTCCCAGACCGGAATCATTTCCCTCTATGACTGTGTTTTTAAGAGGAACCCAGATTATAATCAGAAATTGCACCGAGACGACAGAGAACATGCAAAAAGCCTGGGACTTCACGTTAACGAGGAGGTGGTAATAAGGCAGGGTATCGCTGGGTGTGAACAGATTCACTGTGTGTGTGTTTATTTAGCACTGTGTGCAGTTGGCTGCACGTAACTCACCTTTGTAAGGCTCTCCTCTGTCTCACTGTGCCAGGAAGTGAAGACTAAGCTACTGTCACAGCTCACTGCATTCTGCCATGTTAAACTGTGTATTAATTTTTGTGACTGTTGTTTAGTCCTCTAGAATGTAACAGTTCCATGACAGCAAAACTCAGGAGTTCTTTTCAATAGATAAATAAGGTCTTTGCTTAACCTCCCAGGCCTGGCTATCATAGTTCTAAGAACACTGGTCTTCCAGGGATGAAACCACACATGCAAGAAAGAGTATTTCTCCCAAGTTACCAGGCCACTGTATGTACCACATAGGGCTCAGTTCTTTTATCTCTGCATGGTTTTCTGAGAGGAAGGGCTTTGCTTCTCGTCAGCTGCACAGGGTCGGTGGTGACCAACAGAGGGAACAAAACTCACAGGGTGAGAAGGTCAGGCTCACAGCAGGTACAGGGGGTTGGGTGGTGGGTTGGAGGTGTGGGCGTAGAGAGGGGGGTTGATAGGGATGGGGGTGGGGGAGGGAGGTTGTGCATCCCCTTGGCACGGTCGAGCCCACCTGCCGCTGGGTTAGACCCTCTTCCACACTAGGACATTGACTCTGTAAATCTGATCCGAGGATAGTATGTTTATTAAAATCTGGATTCTGTATTAACATCATAATCTTTATACAATACACAGAAATATGGATGAAAAAGCTTCTGGTGGGATTTCTTTTTGGATCAGAGGATTTTTGCCTGTGGCAGTTAATGTTTAAGGATGCCACCGTGTCACTTTTTAACTGCTGTGAAATTAAGTGATGGAGGTACTATAAAGTATCACCCCTTAAGTCACGACATTAACTTTGTTTTTCTGTTGTTTTGGTTTGAGTTAATTCATTCCAAGTTGGTAGTGAAGTTAGTGCTTTTCTCTCATAAGCACACGCCTGGCATGACTTAGATCCAGTCAGAGTTTTTGAGCACCTTCCATGTGCCACTAAGTATAAAGGGAAGAAAACAGAAGTGTCTGTCCTCCTAGAACTGACATTCCCATGAGGAGACAGAAAAATAAAAGCCAAATAAATAATGACCTGGATGCCAGGTATTGATAAGTAGTGTGCAGAGAAATACAGCCTTTTAAGGGGATGGAGACAATGAAAGGGATGAAGGGGGCTGGGGACATGATGGGGGGCCTGGGGAGATGAGGGTGTCTGAGGGGTGGAGCATGGGGAGATGGGGGATAGGGGAGATGAGAGATCTGGGGAGATGGGAGATCTGGGGAGATGGGAGATCTGGGGAGATGAGAGGTCTGGGGAGATGGGAGATCTGGGCAGATGTGTATCTGGGAGAAGGAAGAAGGCAGACAGAAGACAGGCAGTAGGAGCTCGGGGAGAAGGGAGGAGAGGGGGAGGAACAGGACCCTGAAGTCAGTGGGTACCTGCTGCCCCGTGCGAGACCTTGGTCTTTCCCCTGAAAGACTTGAGGACAGCAGCAGTCCTTGAGCAGAGGGGACAGGGTGTGAATTGGTTAAAGAGGCCCCCCCCCCGGCGTCAGCGTGGAGGGGGTCCTAAGAAGCCAGGTGGAGGTGGGATGCAGGTGCGCAGCACGCGGCCTGGACAGGTAAAAGCGCTCTGCTCCCCGACCCTCACTCCCAACAGGAGCGCGAGAGGCCAGTGTGGGTGCTGACGTCTTCCGTCTACGGGCGGCGCATCCACCAGCCTGTGGAGCCCCCGAGCCGGGATCACAGCCGTGCCAGCCACGTGAAGGCCGACTTCTACCGGAAGAACGACATCCCCAGCATCAAGGCTCCCAGCTTCGGGCACATTTCTCCGGCCTGACGCCCTCGCATGGCCCGAAGGGCGCGGGCGAGAGGGATGACACTGGGGGGGGGGGGG